GGCGTGTGCCCGGGCTGGGAGGAGGAGACGTCCCGCGCAGGGGCGACCCCGGGGGCCGCGGCGCCCGCGTCTCCGGCCTCCCACTCGTAGCCCCTCTGCGCCAGCTTATAGTGGATGTACTTCCTCACTATCTCCCGGTTATCATACCCTGTTCTCCCGGCGTGCGCCATCCTTCCCCCGAGGCAGAGCAGCCGGGTACCAGCGGCACCTCTCGCCCCCGCTCCCACCCCACGGCCCCCAAAGAAAGAAGGATAGTTATAATCCAGCTCTTTTATTGGATGTGCTTTGCATTCTTGGACGAGGGGGTGTCTTCAGTCACGCGGAACACTGGACTCTGGTGTTTCCCCCTTGGCGTGAGATGCAGGGAATTTTTATTCAAATTCCTTTCGGATCTTTATTTCATGAGGCACATTATTAGTAGTAGGTATTGTTAATATCAGTCTACTTCCTCCGTGATGCTGAAAGGTTAAAAAACAAAAACAACAACAAAAACCTAGTAAGTCAAAATCAGGTGCATTTTCCTTTACACACTGGATGGAAAGCAGGGCATACACACCACAACTTACACGCCTAAAGAGTGCACTAAACTGCCTGAAAATTAAATTTACTCGAATGCACTTAAAGTTACAAATCTCAAACGTTTCCGTTGAAAGTTACATTAAACCAATTTCCTGTGCAAAGAACTTACTTGTGTTTTTTAAGGACAGCATGATCCTCTGTCAAGTTTCCCTTTTTTGCAAAACCAAAACAAACGCATAAGGCAACGATCCCATCAATCTTCAGAACTCTCCGGGTACAGCTGCTTTGAAACTTCCAAATGAATCAGGAGTCGGGAGCGGGAGGGGCGCAAAAATCAGAAGAATTTCCAGATCGATTCCCAGACTTCTGCTTCACAGAAATGTCAATCCGCAGGAATCCCAGCCGGGGATCTCAAGAGCACGGGCAAGAAAAGGCAGCGGCGGCAGCAGATGAATTGCAACGTTCAGTCCGGCATTTGCAGAAGTCCTGCGATGTCCCCCCGCCTCGGCAATTTACACGCGCGCACACACGCGCGGGCGCAGACATGGATCTCTCGCCGCGGGACCGCTCCACGCCGCCGCGGGAGAGAGACAGGGGCGGGG